GGTGTCCAACATAATATTCACGGAAAATGCTGTTTTTCTTCCCCTAAAAAAGAAACGAGGATAAAACGATGCAGTCAGGAATGACAAATAGGATGACAAGAACAACATAAACATCTTCTAACAAGCAAAAAAGGACATCGGCAGTCACACGCTGTCAGAACAGAACACTATTTACATGAAAAGAACAACAAGAAGAACAAAATTGCTGCTGGAAGCTGTGCTAATCGTCACAACAACATGAGCCAGAATTTAATTAAGGTTAAATGCAGAGGTATTCTGAATGGATTCTGTGGGGAAGAACCACTGCCAGCATCTTCAGACACTTCTGGACACTTCACAGTTGAGGAGGTTTAATGAACTCTTAATGAGTCAGAAAAGCTTTGAGTAAATAAAAAGAACTAAAGTAGACAGACTATGGCGTAAAGCGGAACAGTCGGTTAAAGCCTCAGTCGCCACAGGACCAACATCTCGTGCCATGGGGACAGGGAAAAAAACATCACAGCCAAAAAAAAAAAAAGGAATGCAAATAATGGAGAGGAAATGAGAGAGAGAAAGAAAAATCAACTGAATATTATGAGTAGATGGCACACACAGGTTATAACCAAATTAATTTACAAGTGATACATACCTCATCCCATTCTAGAACATAATTGGTGATTTTTGAGCCATTGTCCACAGGAGGCTGAAATAAAAATGACAAATTACAAAAAAAATCATATATACACTACCCATTAAATGTTTTTTGGTAAGTTTTCGAAAGAAATCTCACCAATGCTGCATTTATTTGATCACAAATACAGTAAAACAGTAATATTCTGAAACATTATTACCGTTTAAAACAGCTATTTTATTCAGTTTAAATATATTTTAAAATGTAACATTAAAAATGTCTTTACTGTCACTTTAAGAAAAGTATTAATCTCTTTTAAAAAATCCCTCAGACCAAAAACTTTTATATAAAAAAATATATATAAATCCACATAAATCTAAGGACACAAAGTCAAGCAAAAAGAAAATATTTTTAAATTGTTAATAACTGATTAAATAATGCGTGTATATTGCCAGGAGGTCATGCATAACAGTGATTTTACAACAGTAAAGGAGAATTTCTTGGCATGATGCAACACGGAATGTTCAATAAATAATTGCATTAATTATTAATAAATCACCATAAACTATTCCACCATTAAGTAATATAGTCGAACCCTAAGATACTTAAAATTTTAATGGTTGTAGAAACCTTGCACAATAGTACAGAATTCAATGCAATTCAGTCATACATACCTTCCACTGTAATGTGAGGGAGCTCTTGGTGCGATGGGACAGTCTGGGCGGTAGAGGGGTATCAGGAGGGGCACTGTGGGTAGTGAAGGCCCTCGCATCCGAACTGGGACCTTTCACAGAGTTACACACAGTGCTTACTCTGTAAAACACACACACGGTGAGGTTAAGAGTTTGAAATTAATCATTTGAAATGATTCATTTAGCGATAACAATGCACTTCAATGTTGTATCCGCTGTAGCCACCAGAAGAACACTCTGTGCCAGTATTGTGCCATTTAACATAAGTGTTTAGATCCAGAAAGTTCCCATATTTAAGTACAAATCCATTTTTAGCATACATCATCTTTAATTTAGTCACGGTAACCAGATTATCAGGTCGATCCTCTCTCCTCAGTACTCAAATGAAATTCAAAGTGGTCAGTTAATGGAGTGTTTCAGCTCATTTGTAGGCTTGGGTATCTTTTGGGTTTTTTATGATACCGGTGCCAAATCGCTACTTTTAAAACGGTACTGATGCCTTAACCGATACTTAAAAAAAAAAAAGAGCCACAAAACGACGGTGTATGCCGTTACAGAATGGCTGTTTTACTGAGAAAAAACAACAACTTTAAATTAAACAATATATTAAAAGTTTAAAGTATACGGAAATATACAAGTAATTACAAAACAACAAATTTACATAAGTTCACAATAAGCTACTAAGCTACCTAACCCAACTACAATAATTTAACACAAAATAACAGTTACAGTACTAATAACAGCAAAGTAGTCGGTATTG